GGAAAACAACTCGTGAAGTTTGACCCGCTAGAAGAGCGAGGTGCGCGAGAACCCTGGGACCCTTTTTCCACCCGAATCTCCACTCTTTTTGGCCCTCATGTCCCTCCGTCGTCGGACTAAACTCGCCCCCACTTCCTCGCCGCCTCGGTCGTATCTAGACCCTCAGTGTGTAGCACAGACCACGCTTCAATATTGAGCATAAATCAAAAACGTCTGCATCAAGCTCACTGCAACACACTGCTGTAAGTGTATAACCAGGAAGCGAGGTAGGAGGGTCAAATAGGTTTAGCGCCACCGCAGCACGGGAGGGAGAATTATAAATGGATAAAATTAGACCGGAGAAAAAAAAAAAAATGAATCGATTCTCTTGCAGACGTATCGATGCATCGGATCGTCGGCTGTTGGATCGATTCATCGATACAAAACGATTATTATTTACACACCTAGTTTCGACAGCATAGAGAAAATTTACCTGAGAGTTTCCAGTTTGCAGTTTGGACTCTTCAATCCAGCAGATAGAAGCTTCACTCCTGAATCCTTCAGGTTGTTGTTACTCAGGTCCAGTTCTCTGAGACTGGAGGACTGGGAGCTGAGAATTGAAGACAGAGCCGCACAGCTTCTCTCTGAGAGGTTGCAGTAACTCAGCCTGAGGAGACAGGGAGGATAACCTACAGTCACCAATGTTCTCCTTGGAAACATTCAAACTGTCTGCTGATGAAGATTCTCAGTCATCCAGGTCATAGTCATTCCATAAAAGTAAAAATAATGGACAAAGCAAGTAAGGAGGAGGAAAGCACAATGGAGAGTGATGTAACAGATTGGGAAAACGTTGTGGCGCAGGATGAAGGCCCAGATTTAATATTGCCAAAGCATCCATTAGATAAGTGGTCCAAGAAAAGGAGTAGGCCAAGGGCAGGTGTAAAGGAGCCTCTCGCAGCTGAGTGTGATGTGGATCTGCAAATAGTACGAAGAGACACACACACCATGCAGACCAGGTCCCAAACAAGACAGCTGGAACCAGAGCAAGAGCTAAGTGAGGTCCATATGGCTCCCTTGCTGTCTAAAGGACCTCAAGAAGACAGATATGTACCATGGTCATTCATGGACATGATCACACTTGCTGGAAGACTGACCCCATTGGCAGATGGTGCTGACAGGTGGATAGAAAGGCTGGAGGAGATCACTGGAGGCATCAATCTGGCTGCTGGAGACATCAAGGCGCTGCTGATCAAAACAGCAGGACACTCAGCAGCCAGAGAGGTGTTTGATGAAGCCGAGCTTCCAGGGGTCATGACCTCATGACAAAATACCATTCAACAAAGTAAGACCCAAGGTGTGGGCAGCCTTGAGAGACAAATACCCCACCTGCAG